TACGTGGGGGTTATCTCTTGGAGGGTTATCGGTTGCGTTGGCGGTAGAGAAGATATTGGGCGCGTAGGGGCCGTTGTCTGCTGGATCACCGTGGAAGACTCGTGTCTTGTTGAGATACTGCGGGTAGCTTCCAGACCATTTTCCGACGATGTAGAAGGCGTCGTCGGAGTTCAGGACCGAGTAATTGTTCTTGATGTAGTCGAAGTAGGGGTTGTCTTCGTAAAATTCCCAGTGCTGGATGGTGACGGCTTTGGAGACGTTGGCACCCTGCGATGGGGTGAAGGTGCCCCAGATGCGGGTGTTTTTGTCGGATTGCTCGGCAATGTAGGTGTGCATGTCGTTGACGAAGTCGGTATAGTCGGAGACGTAGGAAGAGGAGTATTCATCAGCGCCGAGGTGGACGGTTTTGCTGTGGAACCAAGGAAGGAAGATCTTCCAGATTGTTTTCATGGTCGGGATGGTGTCTGGATGGCTGATGTTGAGCATGCTGAGGTCTGTCAGGCCGAGTTCTGGTCGCCATTGCACGATGGCGAGGGCATGGCCGGGCGCTTCGATTTCAGGGATGATGGTGACACCACGACGGGCGCATTGGCGCTGGATGTGATCGAATTGGCTGCGCGTGTACGATTCGTTGGCTCGTTTGTTGAGCCCGGATAGGGCGGGGTCGTCGGACCAGGGCCGGAATGCTGCGTAGAGATCCAGAGATTCCTGGGTGGAGTAGAGATCGACATTGTTGTAGAGATTGTCGCTCAGATGGAGGTGGAAGACGTTTTGCTTGAAGAAGGACAGATACGAGCACATTTCAATCAAGAAGTCGGGTGGGTAGTAGTGACGTCCGGCATCGAGCTTATCGGTTAGATGTATGGTCGTGTACAGGTGTTTGAGGGCTTACCATGACGCCTCGCGTCCCCCATCCTGGAGCATCAATGGCAGAGCCTTGAGGGAGGTTGTGTTTACTAACCACAGCAGCCTGGATTAGCGAGCGTGTTCCCCACCAAACTCCTAAAGGGCTTGCCCCAGAGATGGTAATTCCATGATTGTCGATGAGCAAGACATATGCCTCCGCTGTGAAGCGTCCCGCAACATCGCGGAAGTCCGTCTTATTGGAGAGGGTCAGGAAAATTGCATGGTCGCTGAAGGTACTACTGGTGACAAGTGGGAGGTCGATCCCAAGAGAAGAACGAAGGTCCTCTTGAAAGGTCGTGGCAAATTCTTTCAATGTCGGTGGAATCAATGTTTGGCCTTGAGTATCCACAGTACTGGCATGGCGAGCATCCACGACAATCTTGGTGAGTTGTGACAGTGCATAGGTGCCATTTTTATCAGCAAAAGGAATAGTGGGGACTGTCACCAGACGGGCGAACCCTGTAATTGTAAGAGACTACATGAGCTATAATATGTCAAGGTGCATACCGCAGATGGTGAAGTCGAGAATAAAACCGACTGTGCTAAGTGCCCTCCACCGCATGATGATGCATGAAGTATTCTTGTAGTCTTATAATGGGCGTGCGTCCGAATTAATAGCACCCTGGCAGACCCGCATGTAACCTGCAAATACTAGCGAAGTCGTGCAGCACGATAGCAAGGTTGCAGCTCGGCCAGCAGGGTTATATTGACCGTTTCATGCGACCTGGAAACGATACCTAGAAGAGATCCTTGATTGGTTATGATTGCCAACTTGAGGGCTAAGTTCGGAACCCCGCACGGAGTTGATATGCGCTTCACTCTGCTAACCTATGAGGGGTCGGCTTATCATCGGATTGCCCCGACAGTTGGATGCAGATCATGTACTAGAGCATACTAGTAGTGTCACCTTCCCCTCTTCATGTAACGTACCGTTGTGCAGAAGATACTGATAGATCGGAGATTCTTCAATGGGAGGATGTAACATATAGGCCATGGAAGGTCTGTGTTCAAGGAACCGATAAGCTAAAGCAGCACTGGATATGATGTAGTTGCTGATCAGGGTATACGTCAAACTACAAAGCGCATGATTCGATATTGCGAGTAGCCTTATCTACATAGATGTACTGATATGTACTGATACGTGATGAAAATAAGAGGTAGAGCATAGGAGACCCACATTCAAGTTAATCATTATATCGGGAACAGCCAAAAAGTCCACAGTTTATATAATATGACACTATAATCCCAGAACACAGGAATGTGCATATCAGTTCAGCAGCAAGCTTCATATAGTAGTATCAAAATGGTAAATCCAACCACCACACACCCACTTCCCATCCCAGATACAGACAGTCTATCCATCGGATCTACACTGAATCTATATCCTAGCCGAACAAAGTGTTAAAATCCTCCTTTTCAACCTCCACCTCGGAGCAGTCCGCATCCCCATCACTTTCCTGCACCTTAACCTTTGCTGGAGGTGACAAACCATGTTTCGGACTCTTCGTAACCGGACTCTTCGCTGCATGATGCTGATGCTGATTCTGCCCACTGTCCTTCTTCATTACCTTCTTCTCTCCCTGTGACGCCTCTTTCTCCTCAACTCCGAGAGCCTCCATGGTAGCCTCTCCCTGTGACGCCTCTTTCGCCTCAACATTGAGAGTCTCCAAGGTAGCCTCTACTTGTTCCAGTCCTCGGGCCAGTTGATCACGCAGTTCCTTGAGATTGGTTTTTTGCAGTCCCAGACAATTGGAAATATCGTCCATGTGATCCAACAATAAACTAGTCTGGGAAGATAAGAAGTAGTCGACGTCCTGAGACAGTCTTTCCTGTATTTTCTTCAAGTCTCTATCAAGGCAGTTCAGATCCTCGGGGCTGAATGATCTTGATGGGGAAGACATGGTGGTGAGGTTGCTGCTAATGCTGGGGGATGAGTATTGAACACGATACGTGGTGAGTGACGAGTAGTGAGTAAGTGACCAAGTTATACAATATGCACTCTACAACAGAAGAATTAAAAGGAAATAACAATCATATTTATGTTCCTCAAAAACAGTCACCTAATATCATCCTAAATGCATAAATACCCCTATCCCCGGAACATTCCAATGCCCCCAATTTACCAATATCTTATCAAACCACCAACCCCCAAACCCGGAACTTCCCACCAACCTTCAAACCCAACAAAGACCACTGCAATACTACCTGCCCACTTACTACTCATCATCCCCCTCCCCGCCATCCAACCCACAAGAAAGTAAACTCTCCGCCTCACTCCCTCCACCACTCTCCACCAAACTCTCGGGATACTCCACCCGACAACAAGCGCACGCGCACGCACACCCAGACCTACACTCACACTCACTCCCATCCAGACTCGGATCGATTTCCACCTCCGTTTCGGAATTACTCTCCTCAGTTTCCGTCTCGGACTCGGCACTTCCCTCGTGGTGCTCCTTCCCGTTTTCCTTCTTCTGGATTCCGTTTGGTTTGTCCGGAATGTAAAGTGGTTCCAGTTCCTTTCCATACCCATATGACCACATCATTCCGGAACATTTGGCATCTGCCTCCACAGCGTCATCGATCACTTTATCCCATATGTCTCTACACTTGTCCTTCAGGGTCCGGGAACAGCCCTGCTCGGTCATCTTTGACATGTAAATTTTGCGCACTTGGCCGAGTGAGGAGGCCGAGATGGAGGGTTTGCGGGGGTGTTTGTTGGTCATGACGATGGTGGTAGTAGTTTTGGTGGGGTGCGATGGGGGGGATGAATGGAGGTGGTAGGGTCGGAGGCGTGGTGTTGATTTGCGGTTCCCACCCTATTTTTTTTTGCCTTTTTTTGGGTTCAATTCAATGTAGTTGAAGTAGATAGAAGGAAGAAAGAGGCTCTAGAAAGGATCGAAGATGGGAAGAGGGCAAACGTGGCACCTGTGGAGTACGAAAGACTGACGGAGAAAGGAGGATGGGACACGGAACGTCAAAAGGTCCTCAGTTTGAGTTTCTCTGGATTGGGATTGTGTTGCTACCCAGCAGGGTGATTGAGGTACCTGTGGTAATTGCTCGGCGATAGTGAATGGGCTAATATTAGTCGTTATAGCGGGTCATTCTACAAGAGAAGTGTGCACGCTCGGGGTAAAAGGAAGATAGAGCTGCGTGAACGGATGCATAGTGTTATAATCTGACATCCCGCCCACATCTAAAAAATGGAACGCACCGCCCCTCCAAGAAATTCACTGGCTCTAGCATACATCTGTAAGCGATGGGCTGAAATCGTGCCAGAATCCCATCGCCGTAGGACAAAGTAGAAGGAAATGGGAACCTCCGACGTCTCGCTATCTCGATGGATGGACGGCTGTTGGCGTGGGCTCGAGTTCAATAGCGCATAGGGTTGAACCGTATCGGAATGGTCGACGTTGAGAGTATCCTATATCGGATGATACCCCATCCTATATCGACGTCTCTGGAAAATAGGCATGAAATAGTCGGACTTATCTTCTGGCGTTAGGGCAGGGGCACGTGCGGCAGTATCCGCGGGGGTCTTGGCGATCGATTTGTCGAACCGTTGATGAACAGGCGCATGGGCATTGGGAGGTCTCCGATTGCCGCGTTGGGTCGTATCCATCATGCCACTCAAGGCTTCAAAGGGCCACAACAAACAAACGAACAAGCAATCTCAACAACAAGCACCAGGTAAAATCATTACTTGCAAGAAATGCAAGAACTTTTGGAACAGTATATACAGAACAACGAGCAAGTCAACAATCTCCCACACCAGGCAGAACCTCATGTGAAGAGAAACCTTCCTACATATGGGCCACTGAACAAATCTCTGGTTGCTGGGGCATCGATCCGATCGGTCCATTGTCGCAAGGGAAATTCGGCACATGCACGGGCTTCGGATTGTCGCTACAGGGCTTCGTTCAACGGAGGTCGCTAAGGGATGGTATCCAAATGGGGGATTAGTAGTCACGTGGCGCAGGGGAAATCCAATACTCGCTGGGATGGCCGGTTGTCGCAAGGGATCCAATGGGTGGGTAAAGGGCTTCGTATGGGGATGTTATGCCGCTGGGTATATAACAGGCGCTGGGTATAGATTGCTGCGGGGCTCGCTTGGGTCGGCATATGGGCTGTCGCTCAAGGGATCGTTTCGTACACGGGCTTGTTGCAGGGGTTCGCTCGGGTATCATGTCGCGGGGGTAGATATAATAATGCGGGTGTGTCGAAGAGCGCCTCGGGCAAACACAATGGCCGTTCATCGGTTCTCTCGTCCGTCCTTATCCGAATTGGCGTCGCCGGGTAGGTTGCTTTCGGAGGCTGAATCTGCTACAACTGCTTCGGTAATAGGGCCATGGTAGAAGCGCTTGCCGCTGATGAACCAGTAAACCAGCGCAAACAGCAAGACAAACACCAAGAACACACAGGCATAGTTCATCTGAGGGAGGGTGATTTGGTCAGCCCAAAGAGAGCACGGGTATGCAATCATTTCCACTTACGTTGTCAGGGGTCACGGGACGGTCCGTGGGAAGTACGAAAATAATGCTGACGAAGAGCGTCCAGAGGCAGGCCCAGGCATTTACAAACTTGCTGAAGATGCCCATGTGCCAAGGTCCGGGTCTGAATTGACCAAACAGCAATTTGCACAGAACGGGAATGCAATAACTCCAGTCAAGAGCGATGGAGCAGAGGGTGAACACGGCATCAACTGCCGTGTAGGAGCCCAGAGCGATAAGATTAATGGCAATGCAGAAGAAAACAGAGATCCAGACCGCATAGAGGGGAGTGCCAGTCATGGGAGATACCTTGACCCAGACGTTGGAAAAGGGAAGCATGCGGTCACGGGAAAAGGCAAAGACAGTTCGGCCAAGCGACTGCATGGCTGTGAAGGTGACAAACTTGATAATGAGCAGAGCAGAAACGGTGAAGAAGATGGCGCCACCCTTGCCAAGGCTGTTATAGAAGATCTGTGCGACTGGCTGTTCCATCTTGGAGTTAAGGATAGCGTTCGGGTCACCCATGCAGAAGCACAGAACGATGTTGAACAGGAAGCCAGCCAGATAAGTGAACAGCATAGCCATTGAAATTGCCCAAGGCGCCTTAATCTCAGGGTTGCTGATCTCCTCGGTAATATGAGCCGTGGCATCATAGTCCGTCATGGTCCAGCTGACTGACAGGAAGCCAAACAGCCAACTGAAACCGATGGGCTGCCAACCAGAGGTCGACTCGACATGGGTGAAGACGTACGAGGCATCGTGTTTGTCGTCGGTCATGACCAGAAGAGCAATAGCACAAGCTACGAGGACGCAGACGTGAAAGATGACATAGAACTTGGTCATCTTTTCCATCCAGTATGTAGACAGAGAGTTAACCAGACCGGTAATGAAGGTCAAAGCAGCCATCACACCAACGGTCGTTGTGGTTTTGATCTCGTAGTTGTCCATTCCCTTGCACATCGAGACAATGGCCAGGAGCATCTGCGCACCGCCATACTCGGATGAAGCCACGCCACAGATCTGGCCAAGAAAGTTCAACCAACCGGTCACCCTAGACAGTATCAACATTCATCCTCTGAAGCAAAATCATCAGTGTTTCTATACCAACTGATCGACGGAACCCAATCATGTGGAGCAAGTCTCGAGATCGTAAAGTACCTGTCGCTTGGGGTCAGCAGCCGTCGTCCCGAGCGAACGGTGAAACTTACAGGCCTCCAGAGGTCGGGTAGGCAGATACAAGCTCAGCAACCGAAAGCTGCAATATGTTTCATCAGCCTCCGCACAGCGTATTGTTATATTGGACTACCCACCGCGATACACATGCACCCAGCTCCCGAAACAAGCCAACACCATACCACCGCGCTGCTTCCTCCCGCCTCGAGAGGATAGGACATGGTGGTCATAATGGTTGCGAACAGACCACTGATACTGACTGCGAACGAAAAAGTGGAGAGATAACCGAACTCTCGCTTGAAGACGGGCTTGTAACCAAACTCTGCGGCGAGTTGAGTGTCGGCCTGATTCGTACCGGCGAGGCGGACTTTCTCGAGTTCGGCGCCGTCAGTCTCCATGGCTGGGTTCGCAGCTGCTTTGATGTCTGCCATGATTACTTGTCGTTTTATGCAGCGTGGTTGAGGAAAAATAGACAGGGCAGGCTGAGTTAGAAGGCGTTAACTGGCAGAAAATAAAGAAAACGAAAAAAAGTTTTAAGAGAAACCGAAAAGATTTTAAAGGTGCATGCAAGGCGTCAGCAACAATAAATTCGGTCTAAGATATATCCGGTTTAGTCCCATATCGGCAAGACCAAGTTGCGCGTCGGTGGGACGAGTTATAACGAAGCTCAATGGTCAAGCGACGCAGCGACCTGGTAAGCTTCGCCGGCGGGTCGTATAGAAGGCCGCTACGGCGTACTGGCGTCCCGGAGTTGCCCCTCTATCTCCCTATTGCACGGAGTCGAGGCACAGGAATATGGGCAAGTGGACTCGAGTGGATCACCATGACATCCCGTCTGCGATTCCTGGCTGTTTAGCGGGACAGCTTTCCTACACCCAGTTTAGCGGGTGCACCGGACCTTGAATCCAACGCCTCCCCAATGGCCAGCCGTCCCCCGCCGGCGCTCATTTCCCAGAGGCTCTCCTCGTCTATCGGTGCCCCTGATTGGTGTTATCCGTTAGCCACGACGCCATGTGGGACCCCCGATACCGCTGATGTCATCGCACGGGCCTGGGGTCCTCTGATGACTCGGCTAACATGCCTAGTGTGGTGATAATAGAAGCCATTGGAAAGGCAGAGCAAATTGCATGTGCGCGGTGACTGAGTCGTATGAATCGTGGTTGCGAATTTACGTGATTCTCTCAGGTAACCTGGCTGAGAATAGGGGAGAGACGGAGGCAGTCTAGCGCAGCGAAGTCATTAATCGGGCCGAATGTCTTGGTGGGACACTGTTGGATTACCTAACTGGCTTATCTTGCAGCTGGGAAATGCCATTGGCGGACTCTCCGATAGGAGTGCGTCTTGGCTGCAGTGATGGAAAGGCTTGTCTTACTGGCCAGATAAGGTGCCGGGGCCGTATCTTTCCGATGCTGACAGTGACTGACGGACACAGTAGGGATGAGCATTCTTTGAACCAGCACTCCCCTGTCACGTGCAAGGGTACCGGAACAGGCAAGGTTTTCCAGGATGGATGCTGTGTATAGTCCGGCCATGTTATACCCTTACACTATCCCAACAACAGACTGGTCGATATTGTCTAAGGTTTCATTGACATAGTGTCTGGAAACTATCACTCTATCGGGAAGGATTAGCTATGGTCTCTGATAGAACAGCAGTGCTTATCTGTAAGTTTCCGGTCCGCGACCGTGCCTTCGACCCTCAGTTTATCAAGCCCCGACACTAGTCTGCAGGCCCATTGGTTGATACCAGCAATGAGCAGGTACTCGTATGATCAGCGACCCGGCTAGATCGGTTTGCTTGCCCGTGTTCCGTCTGAAGCGCCTCAACATTTTGCGATGTACTCCACATGGGACGGTCCGTCGTCCCTGGCCAGGAGCGGGGACGGGGAAGCTTGCTGCATGAGACTTTGGTCGGAGATCTCGTAGATGACAAATATCGATTGAGAGATATGGTTATCGATTAGAGATAGCATGAGAGGTGATTAGACGATGACAAGTGTCTTGACAGACAATAATTTGGTAACGATGAGTTGATGGCAAGATCATGGATAGAGGGATGAGGTAAGGTGGAACTGGCAGGAACTTGGTCACCTGAGACGGCGTGACTTCTACAACTCCCCAAACTTTGCACGGTCCTCAAGCTCATTACTATACGCTGGAACATGTTGTCCGACGGGAGTATTTGCGGATTGCATTTGCCCCAGTTATGCTATCATGGATGATTTGCGACCATATGAAAATAGTGCTAGGACCCGAAACGGTGTCTAGAGCAACCGCAGCCTCTTCGCAAGCAAGCAGCAAACCACGACAAATGCACACATGCACCCTATGATACCAAAGAACCATCCAAGATTCTCTACATCCTGTCCAGGCACCTCGACGTTCATACCAAACAACCCAGTGACCATATGCAAGGGCACAAAGATTGTCGCCAGGATGGTCACCTTACTCAAGACCGCATTGACATCGTAACTCAATCGGATATTGTTGACGCTGAGCTGCGCCAAGAAATTGGATTGCGACCGTCCCACAATTTCATCGAAATGGGACAGACTGGTCAACGTGGTCACCAAATGGTCTTGCACATCGCCCAGGTACACTAAAAGATCGCCATCGGGGAACATTGGATTTCTGTCCTTCGCCTGACAACGCTTGACGAAGCCATTCAAGACGTCGTATTTACCGGTCAGGCAGCGGATGAGCTGAGTGATGCTCTTGCGGAGGCTATCGAGTTGAGGAATGAGCGCTTTGACGTCGTCGACGCGGGCGATGAACACTTGATCTTCGATCGCATCGGCTTCACGTTCTGCTGCGCGCATGTACGGTTCGAAATCATCGATGATCTCGTCACTATTATTTGGCCTGTCAGTAGTCGGGAGGATTAGAACGAGAAATAGTGGGCGTACATAAGAGCGTAGCAGATCCAATCACTGGATACGAGATGCGTGTCCTGTGTCCGGCGGATTCGGTCCCGGACTCGGGCGATGTGGTGACAACCACTGGGTGAAAAGGTCACTGTGGCATTCTTGAACACCAGAATGTAGAACCCTGAGGAGCCGGGGATAGACGATGATGGCTTGAGGCTTCGAGAACTCTTGAGGTCGTCGGTTGGAAGCAAGGTTTGGAAGGAGATTAAATAGTAGTTCCGAAATGCTTCAATCTTCTCGCGAGGTTCCCTGGTCGCAATGTCCTCTGCCGTCAGAGGGTGGATGGACAATGCCTGGCAGACAGTGCTGACCTCTTCCTCGGTGGCGTCGCAGATGTCAACCCACCATGTGTCCGGCTCCAAACCTTTCGTGTCGGCAGACAAGGTAGACTGTTCGATGAGCAGGCCCTCCCAGGTGGACGAGGTGACGACCTGCTGGGTCCGACAGGAAAAGTGGGAAAACCGGTGGAGTCCCTTCGCGTCCATTCTGTGAGTCCAGACTGAGCAGCCACCTCAGGGAGGGGAAAGGAGCGACACAAAAGCAGATCTGATTCACAACGGGTATAACCACAAGAAAAACGCAAAAACCAGAAACGGGCAGAAAAGGCGTACACTCAGCCCATTCTATGGTATAGACGCTTGTTGACTGATCGAACAAGCACAACGTCAAAAATCGACACGGTTTTCATCCGTGAGCGCCTGGGCCGAAACAGGTAGAAAACGAGTGATTTATTATACAAGAGAAAGCAGGAAGAAACAGGACATCCACGTTGCGCAAAGCCAGGGGTCAACTGATATTTCACAGAATCCAGCAGCAGCCTTGTAGGGCTGAGGGAGCGGGCCCCTTTCCCCTCCTGAGGAGCCAATAGTGGAGCCCCCACGCAAGTTTTTCGGCTGCCCTGCCCAGTCACTTTTCGCGTCTGGCGCGACTTGACCCAACCAGCCCTCCTGGTTGGCCAGCCCTCGAGGACCCCGTGGACAGATTACGGATAGTCGGAAGGCAAGATTTGGTAGGATCATCGGGTTCAGGCAGCATTTTTCACGACGGGCCTTCCTGAATGGATTAGACTATTCTATCTAAAGATTCAGTGTCTTTGGCGCGGTGCAACGTTTACCCCCGCTGTTGTGGCTCGGACGAGACCCGTTGGGGATGACGATAGCAGGCTGCCACCTTGGCAATGGCGCAAGCAAATGGGATATAACCTTGACATAAGAGCCTTGGCTTGTTTTTCTCACCTCCCAGGATCATGTCTTGATCGTTTTGTTCATCATCGAAGTTTGAAAGCCATCTCGCTCAATACCACAAAAGGCCCTTTGTTCGTTGAAAGAAATAACGCCCACCACTAACTGAGATGTCGTCCACCTCCACTCTCATGTAAGCTGCAGCACGATTGCTAACTAACTTTGCTAGCGAGCTGACCAGATTCCTTACAGATCCGCAGTAGGGGTCGTGTGGAGATATGCCTGGTTTCTGGCGTTTCGTCCATTGGCCATCCTCGTGCTGACGGGTGCAACCATATCCCTTATTCGATCTGGTGTCTCACTTTGCAAGGATATTCCCTCTATGGCCTATGAGATGTAGGTATCTGCTTGACTTAAGATTGCGCTTTCAGCTAACCTTGATGCCCCAGATTCATGTGGTTCACCTCCTAATGTGATAGGAAGGGGTTGTGTTAATACCTGTATTACGTACTGGAGCGAAGGTATCTTGGCGTTGATGATTTGTCATGGTTGCATGGTTGCATTGTGTGTCTTATGAAGCGATACTTGCATTGCATATGTACATTGTATTGTTTTTCCTGCCAGCATCTCCTGTTCAAACTATGTGTCATATTCATTGGAGTTCAGTGCTTGCAAGGTAATTCAAGCTGCTGTGTGTCCAAAACAAAAGAGCTGTCATGTTGGGACTTGGAACTTTCAATCTTGGAAATATGAAAAACCCGACATTCTCTGATTACCGCGCAATTTCGAAATAGAAGTCCTGTAGACCGATTTATTGATTGTATCACGACTGACAACAATGATTTGCATCGTGTGTGCCGGTTGAGGAGAACAGGGCAGGGAGAAGGCGACCGGAATTGACCGGTAATTGGAGGGGTCACATGACGCAAGTGTATTTCCAAAAATGGGTATTCCGACAAGGTCATCTAGTACTGTTGTTGAAAGCATGGAAGATTAAGGAACCGCGTGAACAAGTCTCTAGCACATAGCACGGTTCACCGGGATTGGATTCAGCAGTCCGCCTGGGGATGACATGCCAACTATCCAACTATCAGTATAGCATAAACATTCGATGTATCTAACCTCATCACATTATCATGCGGATTAATAATTACTGCCATGCAAACCGGTCGCTGACAGCCAAAACTGGACTTGAAAGGAGCATCCAAAACCAACCAATCAGATCCGATGACTTTCGAAGCAAAGCGCCCATAATTTCGACCAATCAACAATCCCCGGAACTGAAACCGCTCAAATCACAAAACTTTGCCTGAGGCATCAGTAAACCCCGCCATCCAATCCGAGCTAATATCACCGATACCGCACCACCATCAATCCAACAATAACAGCAACACCACTACGATGGATAGCCTCAACTTCCCCACCGAAGACCGCGCCTTCTTGGAACCCCATCTCCCACCCAAAGATGGCAATCCATCATCATCATCACTCCCCTTCACCACCCTCACCTTCGCCACATCCCTCGACTCACAATTAGCTCTGGCCCCGGGCACGCGGACCGTGCTGTCCGGCCCGCAATCCAAAGCCATGACGCACTATCTACGCTCGCGCCATGACGCTATTCTTATCGGCGTAGGCACCGCCGTTGCCGATAACCCCGGCCTGAACTGTCGACTGGCAGGGGTAGGCGGATACGGCTCCGAAGGTTTGGCGGGCCAACCCCGACCAATCATCATCGACCCCTCAGCCAGATGGGAGTTTACGGCGCAGTCAAAGATCTTTGAGCTAGCGAGGAATGGGCGCGGCAGGGCTCCGTTCATCGTTACGGCTGCGGAGACGGCGCCTTCTGCGGCTCAGAAGGAGGTACTGGAGAGTCATGGGGGGAAGTTTATTGCGTTGCCGATGGGGGTGGGTTCGGATGGTGCGCATCGGATTGATTGGACTGCGTTGTTAAGGTGTCTTGTACGGGAGGGGCTAAAGAGTGTGATGATTGAGGGAGGTGGTTCAATCATCAACTCGTTGCTTGAGCCGGGATGTCAGTCGTTGGTGGATTCGGTGATTGTTACGATTGCTCCGACTTGGTTGGGCCAGGGGGGCGTGGTGGTTTCACCGAAGAGGAGGGTCGAGGGGGGTGTGATTGTTCCGGCTTCGAGGCTGACCAGCGTGAAGTGGTATCCGTTTGGGGAGGATGTAGTGCTTTGTGGGAGGATTAAGGGGTCTGAGTAGGGGTGGTTGGGTTCGTCAAAACGCAGATTTCTCCATTCAGTATAGAATAGATTGTTCAGTTATGATGCTTTAGTTTTGTTCAGACTCTGCCGTTATAGCATCTTCACTGTATTCAGTATAATATCCAGGCAGTTGAAGATATTCGTCTCCCCCAAGAAGTTTTCTCTGCTGGAAGGCCTTGAACCTCAAAGAACAGGTTTTTGGCAATCCTACGTTACGAAAGGGTGTTGTTAACGTCGATACCTAATGCCATAGTAAATGCTCATGATAGAAAAGGAAAGGAGAGCAACAAGCATGATATCTATGTAAGGTATGCGGCTCCATGACGGCACTAACGACAGGAAAGCGGGAATGCATTTCCGGGTCAAATAAATGGACCTGCCGCCGGGTCCCGCATACATTTTTGCCGTGTCGAATCTGAGAGCGCTTTTCTGACTACGCCGGGGAGAGAGCGTCTTCAAGAATATATTCTATCGGTCACAGGGCGATGCATCCATGGCGCAGATTACGGTTGAGTAATGGTCACCTTTCTTATGACTTCATATCCTTACCAATACCTCTGCGAGGGTGTCACCGGGGCTATGGTTGGTCATTTCTTTAATTAGATGCACAGTTCTATCCTCTACACAATCCATGTCAGTCGTCCCTCTGTTACAGATGTATGAGTGGTGCTGCAATGGAGACAGATACGTTCCGTACCATCAGCCGTGATCCTCTGCTTTGTGCCCAGTAATCATAGAAAATAACTTTGTGGCACAGCACATATACTTACAAGAAAAGTTTATTGGCCGGTCTATTATAGAGAAAGAGGTTATAACCGTGAATGACTACCTTTTAGGCCCCGTGTGACTGACCTACGTGGATTCTTCCTCTCAAAATCTTGCTTTCTTTTCGGAGTCTTCCACAACGCACTTTTCAGTGATGAAGTTCTTACTTCTGTGGCGTCTGGCCCAAAGAATACAGATTCTCACTTTTCCAGCATGTGACGACTGGAGTACTCCACAAAATCAACAAGCCGTTTGTAAGCTTTCGGAACACGCCAGGGAATGTTGAAAAGCACCGGTTCGCAAAACGGTTCATTAGTAGGCTGGCTGGTACAGGATCAGATTTTACATCTTACTGGATGATAAGCAGAGTATCCTCAAACCTACTAATCTCGCAGAATAATGCTATAATCGGGGATTTTCGAAGATCCCAAAAGAAATACTGACAACACAAAACCATGGTACCTTTATAAGGTGCTGTGATCCTATAGACGATTGAGCACATCTCGATATATCGCCACATGCCCATAGGCACTACGAAATCGGAAACGCAAGCATCAAATCGATTGCCACGATGTCTGACTTCTTTCTTATGGAAGATGTCTGGAATGAGATTTGCGAGTATCTCGAGACCGGAGACCTCAACAGCATTTGCTTGACATCCCGCACACTAAATCGTGTTGCCACTCGCTATCTCTATCGAAAGATTCAATGGGACTGGAATGGCAAGATGTCTCGATACCGAATTATGTCGCTGTGGACAACTCTTGTCCGAAATAAGGACACACGCAGCCGCCTGTGTGGCTTAATCCGAGAGGTGCACTTACTAGGGCGCAGTCCTCCCCAGAAGACTCGGATCAATGAGAGTCCTGGGATTCAAGAGTGCAGTTCTGACCTGACCTCTATCATTAAGAATGATAAGATGCCCTTTCATCAGGAAATCGACTATCTTCGATTTATTGCGGGCAGTGTTATTGAAAGCTCGAAGGACCGTTCAGATTGGTACAAGTCCATTGCAGCACGAAACGTCTACGCCATGGTGGCCCTCCTCCTACCTTTTCTCTATAATCTAAGGTCTCTCAAGCTCGATTACACCTTCCTTGTTAACGGCGGACTTCCTGGAGTGATAATTGAACGCCTCACTTCTGGTCAGAAAATATATTCCGCAGAGTTGCGAAATAACTTTGACCACCTCAAAGAAATCGATTACGGAACCAATGCACTACAAAACAATCTTCCACGTTTACGTGATAACACACACGTTCCGAGTTGTTTTTCATCACAAGTGATCCCAATATTTCGGTTACAAAAGATCAAGCACCTCAAAGTCTGGCTACGTAGCCATCGTGGTCTTCGGCTGTGGCGGGTTCCAGGTATTCAAACGGACTATACGGCACTCAAAACCCTTATCCTGGACCAAATTTCAATCATGGACTGCGCGCTCTTCAAGATTTTACAAAGAATGAAAAACCTTCGTACTCTTCACCTTGGTATGAACAACGAAGAGAGCAGTTCTTCGTATCATGTTATACCCTCTTACAATGATGGAGAATGCATTTTGAATGGACTGGAAGCATTATATGAGTATCTGGAGCACCTCTCAATCAGCTTCTCTAGCACACCAACAGACCTGGAGACTACCAGTGACATCGACATATGGGGTCCTTTATTCAGATCTATGATGCCTGGATTCTTTCAGGGTTTTACTCGGCTCAAAACACTCGAATTACCGGTCCAGCTGCTTAATGGATTCCAGGATATAGAAGTGTCTTGTATGAATCGAGGTTTACCAGTAACACTGGAAAGGCTTGGCCTACGATGGGACTTCCAATATGTGGGAAGGGAAGAGGGGATGACCTCCCATACAGTGCGCGTTCTCCAGGATGTATTGGCGGATTTCCTTCGGTTGTCGGACCGTCATCGGCGGGTGCCTCTATTGCAGGAGGTGTTTATCCGTCTGTTCATCAGCGATGATGAGCCTGACATAACAGTAGAGGAATGTGACGACTTGATTGAGGAATTCAACATGTATGTTGGAGTTCGCTTTGACCATATGCGACCAGGACTCTGGACGAACGGACCTTGATGGTCGATTATATGTCACTGGATGTAGGCTTTTGATATCGTCTATGGGATCAACGCCAATCAAAGCCATATATACAGCCACCGTTTTAATTCTCCCTCCCGATACTTGATATTCAAATACGTTCTCTATACCAGGGATGCTGGGCGCGTTTTATTCTCCTGATTGTCGCCAGAATGGAAGACACATATTTCATCAAAAGTACATCTTTTCACAACATTTATATACTACACAAAACAATTTCACAACATTTATATACTACACAAAACAAACAAGAATCAAGCCATCTACATACACCTACGAAACTCTCATCTTGATGCAACATTTTGTTCATGATTCATGATGCACCAATAATTCCCTCCTTTCATCAAACACTTCCAAAATGACTACACATCTATTAATTAGTGAGTAAAAGGATTGTTGAAATATGAAATCACTGATAAACATCGTAATAAGTTTGGTCCCATCAGCAAAGCTCATCGCATGATGAGACG